GCTAATAGAGTGCTTGAAAGAAAAATGGACCGGACCTTGGTGGACTTGAAGACACCGCCTAGATCGTGCAGCGCAACCCAGCCAGTTCTCCATCCAGGAACATCCCATCCCTTCGATATGGATCCCAGTGTAACCACTGGTACAATTGACGAGAATTTCCCCATGGGAACAAAGGGATTACTCCCAAACACGGTCCATCTAAAAACTTCGTCAGAAACCACCATTATCCCAAGTTCTCGAGCCAACTCAGCCAGCTAAGATTCATTAATTACACACAATCAAATATTAGATCATAAGGTCATATGAATACTTGTGTTACTAATTAGAGTATATGTAAAAAAAAAATACCTGCTTGAGATGAGCCTCCGTGTAATAGTTCCCATTGGGATTGTGGGGGTTGATTATAAATATCGCAAACGTGTTCTCGTCTGCGGCCGCTCTGACGCTCTCGAAGTCGATCTCATAGTTCTTTTGGCGGAGGAAATCATAGTTGCGGACCTCAAGGTTCTTGTAGATAGCGCGGACTACGTCCCATGGGAAGCCCGGGCTTGGAAGCAAGACGTTGGCTTTCGGTTTAGCTAGAATGTCGACAGCAAGCTCGATCGCTTGTTTGCATCCAACAGTCATAAACACATCATCTGCTGTTAGCTTTTCCGGAAGATTTCTGTTTAGGTACTTTGCAACGGCACTAAGAATAACATAGGCAGAAATGATTGTGTCATAATGAGGCTAGATCAGAATTATAGTCTGGAAATTTTTGGATTGCTAATTGATGACAAATAATTTAAGAATATTTTCTTGAAAGCAATTAAAAGATCCGTCCAAAATTTAAAAAACTCTACTGAACCCAAAAAAAATTGTATCTACTAACACATTCAATACAAAATCATTATAAATAAAATGTAAATGAATAATACATAGCGTTTTAAGAGATTTTTTTGTCAAGAATATGTTTTTTAACATATTTACAAAAACAGATATTTCGAAAGGTATATATATATTACCTTTTGGCGACTGGAAGGCCAATGCTAGGAGCATACGCATTTCCTGTGCCGCAGAGAACGGCTTTAACAACCGCCTTTTCGGCTGTATTGCTGGTCTCGAGGGACTTGTTTCGCGGAGGCAAAATGGGCTTGCCAAGAGGATCACACCTAGCATAGAGTGCAGATGTGTAGCTGCCTAGGGAGGCTGCAGCAGCTTCTTTGGCCGCCTCGCTCCCGCTAAATTGCCAGTCAATGCTCTTGTGGCTCGTCATTTCTTACTTCTTTATGTCAATTTAGATTTTGTCTTTCGGTGATTAACTCTCATTTGCTATGTGTCGGAATATATAGTGAGACTTCCAACCACTTTTCTTCTAGAAATTTATTATCTCACGTTGTGGGATATAAACATGAACATTTAGGACAAAAGAAAATACTGTATTTCGCGTTACGTGCTCATAAGTCATATCAACCCTCCGCCCGTAGAGTCGGAAACAAAATAGTTCTGTCGATTACTCATCAATAATAAGAAGAAGCAAAGATTCTTACGTTGTTGTCTGTCTTTTTCTTCGAGCGAATAAAGGAAAACCAACCACGTTTTTCTTATTGTTATTACCCTTTTTAAAAAAAAAAAATTCGAACGAAGCCGACTAATCTCACGGATACGTAAATTTGTGAATTATTACTCGATTTCAAGCATGAGTCTCCTAATGTAAAATGTCATGATTTACTAATGTAAAATGTCATGATTTACTCATCGATACTAATTAGTGTTGTCCTAAAGTAAAAACGGAGTG